AGTCATGTTAAGGATCGGTTTTTTTTCTAAAAAACCGTGCCAGGACCTTGTAGAGAATTCATTCAAGTTTCTGAAACCCACCGTCGATTTTCTGTGCAACCATTGGTTTCTGAGATATCGATGAACAAAGAGAAAATGATCCATTTTCATTCAAAGTCCGATAGCTCAGCGAGAAATGGTCGTATCAAGACCAAAAAAAAAAAGAAATTGAAGCTAAATGAACAACCTATCTAATACATAAGGTGGTTAAGTTGGAAAAATTTTTTTCAAGTCCGTACACCAAAAATAAGATCGAAAAAAATTTCGAAAACATTTTTTTCATGATATTCATTAAGATTGCGCGATACTCACTTGAAAAAATTTTTTTTGCAAGATCCAAAAATTAGAAACTTCAAGCTTCAAAATGCTTTTTTTTTACTCCAATACGGCCAATTTTATCAAAGATACAGCCATTTGAAAAATCGCTGAAAATTTATATTTTTTTTGGCCCCTTAATTTTTTCCACTAGTGTATTTAAATGTAATTTATGTAATTAGTAACATAATAAGAAATTAACAATGAATTTATTAAATTATTAAATTAATAATAAACTGGATTTGGGAATAAAGTGATAAAATTAGATGAGAATTTTCCTTAAACATATTGAAGGCAATATCTACACACAAATAAATCATTTAAGCTGGCTTTACTAAAAAAAAACTTAATTCTTTATTATTTTTTAAGAAAAAGACGAGTTGAAAAAGTAAAATTTTCCTAAAATGAATGAATGAATACTTCTCTCATACCACGCGAGATTTATGGACAAAACTGTAAATAATTTTTCTTTTGATCCTTGCAGATGTTGCCAGGAGTGCGCGAAGACAGAGGGCGAGCCTTGCGGGGGCGATCTAGGATTTAGCGGAACTTGCGAGCCTGGATTGTCCTGTCAGCAGCCAGGACCGTCGCCCAGCGAGGGAATCTGTCGGCCTATCATATTCGACCATAATGAGGACACGTGAAAAATGCTTCAATGGTTTTTATATTTTTGTAAGTATCCACAATTTATTACACCAGAACCACCTTTCGTTAGTTGCTTAAACCTTCTTCACCCTGTGTACATTTTCAATTAATAAATTTAATTTTATTCCTTTGACACAATTTATCGGTTGAGAGTTTATCCCGGAAGTTTAATTTGATTCAACGGCTAAAACTCCGGCCTTAATTTAGTTTTTTTTTGCGGTTGTACGCTCATGTAGTTTACATACGTGACGCAATAACGATAAAAGTTCGCCCCCGGTAAATATTGTGTAGTAATTAATACAAATACCTCCCCTTTCGTGTTACGGGTTCGAAAAGGTGCTTTAATTGTTGTAGCTATTTTTAACGACCTGTATTTGCTCGAGCTATAAGAGCCCATTATCCCAGATTGTGCTTGTTCTTGCCTCACTCAAATCGAAAGTTGGCCTAGGGAGAAATACGTCTTACGTATTCTGGAAAAAAAATACAGCAGAAAGTTATTGCTTTGTACAATGATTTAGTTTGTAATAAGTATTCAGAGTAATATACTAAAGAGCAATGCTTTGTGCTGCAGAATGTTATCTTTTATATATTACAGTTTTCAGTTCCTTGCGTTGTAGAAGTTATTATTTTATTTCCAGCTTGATTAAATTGTTGGTACTTTAATGTTGGCAGCTTTGATAAAAACATATTAACTTTTGAATTACAATAAAATTGTGATATTTGAAATTTCCTGATTTGTCTGAAAGGAATTTAAATTTTCATAAATCAAATCAAAGTTTTTATATTGTTATTTTGGTCATTTTAGACCAGATAGGACAACTGAGGGTCTAAAGCTATTGGTTTTTAAAATATAGCGTATTAAAATCTAAATAATATATCTTAATTTGGTTGGATGGTAGGATACATTATAGATCGCATCATTAGGTATGTTTCTACCCTTGTTTCAGCGAAACTTATTCATGGCGGCGATAAAAAATATCTTAATCTGAAGAGATCGATCGTTCGACATCTGCTGATGTAATATTGACAGAATTAAATACATACTCTACTTCCAAGCTGGTCCGACATTGTAATTTCCATTCGAGGTTGTATTTATTCCCGTTACATGCAATCAGTATGAAAATTAAATCAAACATAAATCGAGTCTTCTGGTTTTCGCCAGTTTTTTATACGTGTGTTTGTGTAGTGTTTAAGTGTTTAATACTTATTAATTTATGTTTATTAATATTTATTTTAAACGTTTTTATACATATACAAGTATATATACAGCGTGTCCCACTAGTGCGGGAAAGTCCAATATCTATGTTAAAATGAGGAATACATGAATTTTTCTTTTTACTGTGTTGCCACATTTCTTGGAATGTAGAAATTAAAAATAAATTCAACTATACAGGGTGTTCCACTTTTCCTGGTCAGACACCAACTTTGGTTTTTTAAATACACTCATTTTTTATATTTATTTCGGATTCTACATCAAAAATAAAGGGTACTTTGTGTAGAATAGTTCTATTCAAATATTCACAGTTTTTGAGATATCTCGCTTGAAAGGTTCTAGTCGATATTGGCTGCTTACATTTTCTGATACTGACAGGTTATACTAATAGCTACTAAGCCCAGTTTTTTATCAGATGTTTAGTAAGGACGACTCTTCCGAATCATGCTTCAAAAACTGGCCTGCGTTATACAGGGTGACTAAAATATCATGTCAAAATTGCCAATTGAAAAATCTAGAATTTTTTTAATGCAACACCCTGTATATTTTCATACCATGAGATGCAGAATTAAATTCTCTACAACTTTGCTATACCCATTCCTATACCAAAATTCATTAGTTTTTCATGAAATCTCATTTCTATGAAAAAATGCGAAGTTTACAAATAGCTTATTATGTAAAATAACGTAGTAGGCTCCTGTCAAAGAATAATCTGGAAAATTTTAGATTCACATAAGGTTTAATAGAAAAACGACAGTGATAATAGTGAAATGAATTACTCTAAAGAAGAATTTGTAAATAAATAATAGAATAATTAGTAAAACTCATAGTAACTATTTATTGATAAGTATTTACCAATTTCCGTCGTAGAATTGCTCGCTCAATGTCTAGAGAAAATTGGCAGACAATTTTTTGCAGGCATAACTTTTTGATATTGGTACGGCGAGAAAGTGCTATTTCTTTATTATTGCAAGAGTTGAATATAGGGCGAGCCAAAACTCGAGCACATAATTTTCTCAATTCTTTTAAATAAATCACCCTGTATTTTATGTTAAAAACTGAAAATGCACTTTATGTTCTTTCATTTTTATAAAGCATTCCCTTTAACTAAAATCATTAATTTCTGAGATATTTACCATTTAATAACAAAAATAGTTTTAAAAAAATGCATATGATAATAAGTTGGCCGTGGGCAAATGACAGTGTGACAAATTGTTATAAAACATTACAAAATATCCGTTAAGGTGAAATTCTTATAATATTGTTATAATATGAGTTTTTTTAAAACTGTTTTATTTTTTTATAAATTTTATATTTTTTACATTTATTTTTTAAATAAAACGAACTTTTCAATGTTGCAGCCCGTTTAAAAAAAAACACCCTGTATATCTTAATAATTTTTTGGAACTTCAGCATCCTTGATTTTATTTTTTTACTGCAGTTATGAAATTGTCGTTTGAACAGAATACTAGGTTCGATCAAAAAGCAACGGGACTTGTTAATTTTCTCAGAAATTATGTTTCATCTTCAATTTTTATCTCATTCCCTTCAAAGTAATCTCCTTGTCGTATTATACATTTATGTGAACGTAGTTTCCAGTTTGAGAAACACTGATAGATTTTGCCTTTATCTTTTCTATTATCGAAAACCGTTGTCCTTTGAGTACTCTTTTGAGAGAAATAGTAAAAAATCACAGGGGCATGTCCGGGGAATAAGCCGAACACATACTAAGCCTGACAGCTGCCTAAAAATCACTTTTTGATCAAACCTCCTATTTTTCTTCATTTGGAGCAGATCATTTGACTTTCATCAACAATTGGGTCTTTTTAATGAAATTAACCTGATATTAGACTAAATTATAATTTTCAATTAAGGAATCTTCAACTTTTAACATTGACTATACGTGGCCAACTAGTTCACCAAGAATATAATTTAAATTATCTACCGGGCCGACTCCGTATTACCGGGATGTTGAGCAATAATTAGTATTCTGAATGCTCCCCTTAACAGCTCTATCAGGGAAATAATTACAGGTAATTATAAGCTGATTTGGTTCAACCCCAACCCTACCCGCGTTGCATCCTCGTTAACAACAAGAAGCCAATGGTGGAACTAACCGAAATGAGTTAATGATCCAAAAAACAAAGTGGCGTGAAATATAATAGTGGAATTTTGTGTAGAGCGAAAACTTATGTTACGAGAACTAATTTTGTACTTAATATGCACTACAGCACCGTAGAATTAAATTGGCCGAGTTTATTATTCTAGATGAGCTCCGTAATAGTAATTGGGCATGTTCCATTTTAATAATATTGCTCGTTTTGCAACAAAATTTATACACACTAGGTATATTCAATTAAGAAACGTTTTAGAAACGCTGCGTTATGCAACAAACTTCTTTTTAAGAATGTTGTATTTGTTTTTATAACTAAAGATGTTATTTTTTCTCACATAATTTTGTGTGTACTGTTTGATTTTAAAATTATTTTAATTTTTTCAACACCCTGTGTAATCATAGCTCATACGACAGCCCCACAGCTTGTCGAAACGAGCAGCACCAGTTTGCTTTAGTGCCTCCCTTCATAGTTTATTTTAAACGTCAAATTCTGGCAATGAGATTATATAACAGCTTCGTATTTCATTAAACTCCCGACGAACTACTTCGTCTCCTTAAAAACTTCCCGGAGTTCTAGAAAACTTGAATAAAGAGAAGAGCGAATAATAGATGACGGGGATGAAAATTTATCATACAAACATAAAGGTGAGCGACACTGACTCGACTGTAAATTTATAATTAGATGTGTTTTATCGATTTTAGATGTTGTTGAACTTTGAGAGTTTCAAATAATGGTTGTTTGCTTGAGCTACTATTTATCCTTACGCGGTTTTTCTGATAGATGTAAAATTTTAAAAATTCCTGTTTTTCTAAATATTTCGAAAACGATTTAAGATATTACACTGAGCTTTGGTGTATGTAACCATTTTTTTATAAATTCTACAGTTACAGAGTTACAGGAGGATTCCTCTTAGATTTCGAAAAGCAATCGACACATTTGGTAGCCCCAAACAATTTGATTAGTTAGTTGTAGCCAGTTGTAATATTAATTAACAAGTAGATTACAAGGGTTGGTCCACAAACATAATTATTATTGTGTGAACGTCGATGGGAAGAAAACGCAACTGATGCAGTATGTAACACCACTATTTCTGTTTGGTCCATAGCAAGCAATTAAAACTGTTACGAACCTATGACGATCCACGTATAACCTATCAGGGAGATCATTAACAACTATATCCCCACATTCGTTATCGCGTTTGCAACCAGACACCGCACCACCATTTAGTCCAATAATTAATGAGGATTGTTAATCGACTAGTAGGTAAAATTTCGATATTGTTATCGTCAGACCGTAATATTCCATCCACACAACGGGGCTAGTATAATAACTGTCATTTTCCCGCAGATAAATAATACTACAATTTGGAACGGAGGACGTCTCTATAATAATCTATTGTGACAAAATCGCACTCGAGGGTTGAATAGATCCAGACAGATATTAATATACTGGATAAGATAAACGCGGGAATTATCTGGGTCGAGCCAGATTTTATAAATTTCAGATACCTGACATCTCGCGATATTAAAAAGCAGGAGATTGCTGCAGCAGCGTTGGCAAGGACTCGTATTATTACAGGTGATGTAAAGTTTTCTATGAATCGGTAGACCTAAAAACCCTTCAATCGTTAAGCTGCATAAATAGGAAAGGACTGTTAAAAAAGTGAAAGAAGGTTAATTTTGAAGACAATGAATAAA